GTGGAGATGGAAACAGTCTATTGAAAACATCACTGCTTCCTCCCTAAAATTTAAAGGGGCTATTATCATCCTTTTAGATTCTGCCTCTCAGGCAATGTCTCACAAAGATAGGCGGGGAGAAAGTAAGGGCTTATCATATTCACAGGGTTAGCTTTTGCTAAATGAATATTGTTCTACTAGATCTCCATTAATAGCATACAAATGGGACTCCGCTCACACTGGGATAAGGGAGGGTACCCACTTCCCTAGTTTAGAATCTTCCCTTACCCTCTAAATCAGCATCTGCCACCATCTGGGATCATGGGCAACTCATGACATTATCAATTACTGTTGCGTTTTGCAACACCAGATATTGGTCTACCTCTTTGGGAAGCATCATGGTCGTGTATCTATCTGGTGAGCTCCAGGATCAGAACCGACTGATACAAATCCCAAACATGGTCACATCTTCACTGTAAGAAATCAGGCACATTGTTTTTTATTCATATTTCATGAAGGTAAAATGGGTAAGACACTAGTACCCATCTCTGAGAGAACTATGAGAATTAAATAATAAAATGTCTGCAATTAGCACTTATAAGACAGTGACCAGCACATACACATGTTCAACTGGTGGAACTGTTATTCTTTTATGAAACTAATAGGTGGTTTTACTATTAGTTCTAGGTCTATCAATTTGTTCCTATGTGACCTCAAGCAAGTCACTGAATCTTCAGGAGCCTCAGATTGTGAATGATACCAATGCAAACAACGTCATCTCCTGAGGTTGTTGGGAGGATTCACGGAGATTACTGTGTAAACTGTAAAATGCGTGCAAATTTTAATCAAGATAACTATTACTGCCATTGTCGTTAGCTCTCAGGGAACTTAAACAGTTTGTGGACAGTTTTCCACTGGAGAACTAAGAGCTAGGATGATCAAGAGATAATGGGGGAATGCGAATGATCCCTTCATGGCATTTTCCAACTTCCTATATATCTGTGTATGGCGTACACTGTGTAATAATGTATATCACAAATTAACCCCTATCAAACCTATCGCTCATAGTCAGTTAACCCTTCCTTCAGAGGGTATGTTTCCTTAGCCAACCCCACTGAGCTTGAGGACCAACTTTTTTTTTTTTTGTAAATAATCTTACCTTCTTTGGTGTCAATAGGAAACAGTATTTACTCACTACTGTTTTCCTTTCAAAAAATCTGTCTAGTTGCATACTAGAAACGGTTTTAGCTGGTTTGTTTGTCTTGGACAGGCTGTTGAAGTGAAAAGTTTTTGCTTGGCTGAATGTGGGACAGTTTCATAACCCCTTCAAGAAGCGCACTGTAGGAGGGAGGATGCCAGCTCCGACGGCTGCTCCTCACAGGCCTCCACTCGCCACCCATTGTCAAGGGGGGCCCGCGTCATTAAATTAAAACAATGAGCAAAGCAACAGATGCAATGAGACTAAATCCTGAGTGCTTTTGTTTTGTCACCGGCATTGTCTGCAACAAAGAAGTCACATGTGAGAGCCTGGGAAGAGAGCCAGATGCAAACCAGACGACATCCCAGCTGGTTCTGAATGGCCTCCATCATACGCCTGTGTGCATGGGAACCATGCTACTTGGAGCAGTGTCAGCTTTATCGAGTTTCTGCCCAGGACTTGGCTGTGATGCCGAGACAGACCCAGAAGAAAGAGCCCAGAAGATCCCTCCACTCAGACTTTACACCTTACACTTCTGCTTTAAGAGAGAAAAGAAAGAGTTTCTGAATTGGGGAAAGGGATAATATCTATATGGTTGGCCAAACTAACCTCAATCGTTTTTGCTACAGCGATCATGAACGTGAAGAGAGAGGTACGGAAGATACCTGAACTTTTTCTTCTGGAAGCCTGTGATTAATTTGGCTTAAGAAGAAGACTGGAGATTAAATACCTCACGTGCTTTCTTTTTACTTGTAACCATTTCATTCTGGAGCGTTTCCTTGGAATGGGCTTTATTCAGAATCTTTAAAATCCTTTTTCTAAGCTGTCATGCCTTGTAAACAGAAAAAGAGGCTAAAACCCAAATTAGGGTATTTTTAGTCCTGTTAATTAATTTGGTTACTAGTTTGATAGAGCAATAGTATCCTTAAAAATAGTGATTATGGGGGTTTGATGAGCCATATACCATCAGCAGTGTCTACTGAGAACTGAACAGAGATATTTCAAGGAGTTTTGGACAACAGTATGTCCACTCTGTCGCTGCATGTCTTTCTTCCATTTTCCAGAGAACTCCTGTAAGGAAGCAGAATAAGGTGTAAGGTTAGAAATAAAAACTTTACTGGTAGCTTAACAGCAGATGCTTTGTGGAGCAACAAATGCATGTCAAGTGAACCTGGTAAAATTTGTATGATATTAGAGGGGAAAGTGCCAGGATTGTAGACAGATAGCATCTCAAGCTCTCCTACACGAATGCCCATCTTCTTCCCACAAAGATTTTTTTTCAGTGGCCACTGAGCTAGATATTTTAATAAACATTTTTACACAATGGTGTTTTCCTCCTTCTATTCAGGAGATATAAGATATTTTCTCTTTTTTTTTTCTTTTCATTTATTTTTATTAGCTGGAGGCTAATTACTTTACAATATTGTAGTGGTTTTTGCCATACATTGACATGAATCAGCCATGGATTTACATGTGTTCCCCATCCCGATGCCCCCTCCCACCTCCCTCCCCATCCCATCCCTCTGGGTCTTCCCAGTGCACCAGCCCGGAGCACTTGTCTCAGGCACCCAACCTGGGCTGGTGATCTGTTTCACCCTTGATAGTATACTTGTTTCAGTGCTATTCTCTCAGAACATCCCACCCTCGCCTTCTCCCACAGAGTCCAAAAGTCTGTTCTATACATCTGTGTCTCTTTTTCTGTTTTGCATATTGGGTTATCATTATCATCTTTTTAAATTCCATATATATGCGTTAGTATTCTGTATTGGTCTTTATCTTTCTGGCTTACTTCACTCTGTATAATGGGCTCCAGTTTCATCCATCTCATTAGAACTGATTCAAATGAATTCTTTTTAATGGCTGAGTAATATTCCGTTGTGTATATGTACCATAGCTTTCTTATCCATTCGTCTGCTGATGGGCATCTAGGTTGCTTCCATGTCCTGGCTATTATAAACAGTGCTGCGATGAACATTGGGGTGCACGCGTCTCTTTCAGATCTGGTTTCCTCGGTGTGTTTGCCCAGGAGTGGGATTGCTGGGTCATATGGCAGTTCTATTTCCAGTTTTTTAAGGAATCTCCACACTGTTCTCCATAGTGGCTGTACTAGTTTGCATTCCCACCAACAGTGTAAGAGGGTTCCCTTTTCTCCACACCCTCTCCAGCATTTATTGCTTGTAGACTTTTGGATAGCAGCCACCCTGACTGGCGTGTAATGGTACTATTTACACCATCAACGTACAAAGTACTAACTTGCTTTTATAAAGGACTTGGTGATAACTCTAATGTTCCAGGTAGAGCTGAAAATATGTGTAAGAAAAATGATCAAATCCCTATGGGTCTGAGTCAACAGGTATCATTTCCAGTGATTAGTGGTTGACTCTGCCTCAGCTTCTCACCCTCTCCAGTTCTCAGGTCTGAGTGATCTCCAAGGTCCCTCACAGTGATCTTTAAATGTCTAACAATGATTGGGAGAGTGATCATTTCCTTAGCCAGAAGGAAAGATTTGGAGATTCCAGTGCCTGTGATGAGAACCTTGGTTTTGGTCTGGATGGAACATGTTCCTGGGAAAAAGAAATCCTTAAAACTCATTCTGTACCAATAGTTATCCATTACGTCCTTCTCTCAAGCCTTCCTGACTAGAAGGAAAATCAAGAGAAGCCGCACCTGATGTTTATGCATGTAAATGTCATTTCCTTCTGGATTTCATTTTGCAGCTTATTTGTCTAAATAAATGTTGCTATTTAAGTATGTTCAAGGATAAAATAATAATTACAAAAGAAGTATAATGACTTGATCCTGCACATTATCAGAGGGTTCATTATATTCATTCAATAGGTATTTATTGAGTACCTGAAATATTTTGGGCACTGGTGTAGACATGGAGCTGTAACAATGAGCAGAGACATGTCCCTATTATCATAGGGCTTCTATTCTAAGCAAAACTCAGTATTCCTTGGATAACAGAATGGTTGTTGATAGGTGAATGGTAGCACCAAAACAAGGAACCCAGAATGTTTAATCCAAGAATAGTTCCTTTCCAATAAATATTGAAGAATAATAATAATAGTAAATAACAATTGGTAATACTTATGTAGTTTTCACATGTTCAAGGCTTATTATAAGTGATTTTATGTTCTAATTTTTTAATCCTTAATTCTAAAAGGTAGAAACTATTATTATCGCAGTTTATGGATGAAATTGAGACACGGGAGATTGTCACTTACACAAGTTCACATAGCTAGAAAATAGAGGAACCAGGATTTGAGCACAGCTCAGAATGTCTGTGATTTTGTAGTTTCCAAATCAGGTACAAAACTTCCCAATATTCTACTTCAAAACCTCTGCCTCTCTCCAGAGGAGAAAAAGAAAAAAAAATGAAAAATTATCTCCTTTTTACAGAAACTAAAACAGAACAAAAAGCAATAAAACAATGGAGGATGATCCCAGCATATGATTTTTTTTTCTCACTAGGAAAAGATGTTCCAAGCCAGAAGACTGGATTTTAAAGGATCCCCTTCCTGCCAAAGAACTTGTGATAGTGGCAGATGCATAAACACATATTTTTGTGTGATTACAAAGCAATTTGTGGTCCCCATGCCATCAAGGGTAAATTGAAGTAGCTTTAGTGAGGTTTGTCTAAATGAAAAACCCAAGGCCATCCACTTGTTTATGTCTTTCTCAGAAAACCCTGGCCCAAGTTGTCTATCAACCTGACTGGTGAGACATAAGGTATGAAGGTTGAGACCCAATGTGAGAAATAGATGGGTTGGGTACATAAAAATTCATCAAAATGATGTCACTTTTTCTCTGGTGTTTTTAGGAAGTACATTTGAAGAACACAAGCAGAGGCAGCGCAGGAAGCAAGAACTACAGGATGTAGGAGGACCTCCCCGAAGAGTGAAGAATGACGCGCCACCGGCAGGACCCTTCGCTCTGCACAAGTCACCTGTCAGACACCAGAAGACCTACCAAAAACAAGTTTGATAACATTTCAGAAGATGGGCATTCCCCCCAGTGAAACGAGTAAACATTCCAACATTGTCTTTAGGAGTGATTGTTCAAAGCTTTGCACCTTGCAAAAATGACCCTGGAGTTGGTAGATTGCTGTTGATCCTTTATCAATAATGTTCTATAGAGAAAATATATATATAGATCTTAGTCCCTGCCTCTCAAGAGCCACAAATGCATGGGTGTTGTATAGATCCAGTTGCACTAAATTTATCTCTGAATCTTGGCTGCTAGAGACATTCATTCAGCAGGCTTGTCTAAGTGGTTTATTAATTTTTTTTATTTGCACTTCTTTCTACGCAACACAGGCTGTTTGTTTTACAGTGTCTGAAAATCTTGTTCCTCTATCCCGCTCCCTTCTCCATCACCTTTATATTTGCTGAATTTGGCCTCCGAAGCAGCAGCAGCAAGCAGTTAAGTAGCACACCAGTGTTTAACCCACAAGATCCCATCTGTGGCATTTGTACCAAATATAAGTTGGATGCATTTATTTTAGACACAAAGCTTTATTTTTTCCACATCTTGCTAAAAGATGCAAGTAGTTACAACTTTGAGGCCAATCATTTTAGGCGTATGTTTTAAGCATAGAAAGTCTCAAACTCTGAATGGTTCCTTCAAGAGATGAGTTAGTGTGTGACCTGATCAGTACTTCTCTCTTTTTATTTCTTCCATATAGAGCACTATGTAAATTTAGCATATCAATAATACAGGATATATCAAACAGTATGTAAAACTCTGTTTTTTAGTACAATGGTGCTATTTTGTAGTTTGTTAAATGAAAGAGTCTGGCCAAAACGGTAAAAGGTGAAAGCAAAACTAAAGAGGAAGCCTGGAGCCAAAGGTTACACAGAGGGGAAGGGTACTCAAAACTCAAACATTTGGGAAAGAGAAGCTCCCCAATTGTGGCTTCCAAGAAAAATAAGACACAAAGTCCACTGATACAAATTTGATTGGCGAGTCCAGAGAGGAATAGAAAAAGCAGAAGGCTAGGAGTTTAATAATCCTGGTTTCTTATTCTCGCTGAAGAAACAAACATCTGATGACTCTGCCACGGACTCACCACTGTGTGACCTTGGGCAAGTCACTTCACCTCTCTGTGCCTCAGTTTCCTCATCTGCAAAATGGGGGCAATATGTAATCTACCTACCTCACAGGGGTGGTATGAGGATTAAAAAGATAAAGCTCCAGATTTTTATCCTGAGTTGCTATGAGGGCATCAAGATCAGAGCCCTTGCGTTGCTAGGATGCAAAGAATTCTATAAACAACCCATTCAGAGCATAGCTAGAAAATTGATAAGCTGAAGGCTCTTGACATGCCAGTTCTTGTCAGTGAGGCTATCCAACTATCTGTTAAAAGCTAACAGTTCAATCCCTTTTAAAACACTTTTCAAAATAGAAATATTTGCATCTACAATTTGATTTTGATCTGCATTTGGATTTATAAATATAAAGTGAAAATGGAGAAAGGAAAAGAAAGAAGGAGAAAAACAGATTTCTACAAGTGAAAGAATGGTTACTCCTTTTGTTAGCACATACTGACTCTTCCAGGCATTTACTAATAATCGAATAATTTGTTGTTGTTTAGTCGCTCAGTCATGTCCTACTCTTTGTGACCCCATGGACTATAGCCCACCAGGCTTCTCTGTCCATGGGATTTCCCAGGCAAGAATACTGGAGTGGGTTGCCACTACCTCCTCCAAGGGATCTTCCCAACCCAGGGATCAAACCCACATCTTCTGCTTGGCAGGCAGATTCTTTACCACAGAGCCACCTGGGAAACCCAATCTAATAATACTTATTTTAATATCATAAATGAGACTATTCATTTTGAAAGCCACAGTTATTTCCTCTTTTTAAGCCCAAGATTTCAAATACTGAAATAATAACTAGTAAAAAGTCACAAATTTACTTTCCTGAATGTATTTTGTTCTTATCCTTGGAAGTATATACATAAACATATATTTTCAAATTTTTTTTTTCACAAAAACATGCTTAACAAGAGTTGCAAGTTGAGAGACAAAAGTTTCTTTCACAGCTAGAAATTTTCTAGCTCATAACTCTTGTCTGCTTAGAAGAGTGGCTTCTAGTCCTCTGTGGATGTATCTTATCCATTCAATTGAAAATTGGTATCAAGAAAACCCAGTGATAGAACAAGTCCATGCTGACCTAGAAAAATATTTCCTGTCTATATATCAAGGTTTTCTTACTAAAACAACAAATCATTCATCATTCATATCTTTTTATCTGCCTTAGAATTTTTTGGTAAAAAGCAACCAGACTTGATAATTTCATGTAAATTATATCCCTTTTATTCTTGGAGAGTGTACATGCAAAGCAAAAATAGCATCTTTAGTTTTCATTCCACTGGTTCACCTCAAGGTTCAGAGGCCAGAAAAAAAGAGATTTCTTGTATCTCCAAACTTATGCAAAAAGAGGCCTCTTTAATGGATGTCCCTTTCAGCCAACTGGTATTTTAACCTCAGTCCACAGTGTTATTTGAATTCAGCACCTCCAGCATGCTGAATTATGTTCTGATCACCGTGGACAATGTAAAAGAAACCATAGGTGGTTTTGCTCTTCATCTGTTTTCATATGGGTTCTGTGGATCCACTGGGAAAATGGATCCATTTTCCCAAAATGGCACTTCTGATTTTTATTTCTTATTCCTAGTGTATACCTTTTTAAATTACTGACTACCAATAACATGTTACATGCAACCTTCAACAGACTTATGTTTCCAGACATAGGTGAATATGTTAATTCTAAGAGTGTCTATGACTTATTTGATTCACTAATAATTCTATTCATAACCAAAAATACCCCAGTGAGAAAAGCTTAAATATGGAAAGCCATATTACTTTTCTTAATTTTTTCTAACACATAGTCCTATTCAACTGTATCATAAATCAGCTAGTTAAAAATTAGCTAATTATGCTAACCCACTGTCTTATTTTCAAATGATTTAAAACTAGAAGTCAAATTGCTGTCAATTCCAAAACCTGGCTGATCACTATATAGTACAGCAGAATGACCCAGTATTGACAGAAGGAAGCACATAAAATCTTACAGCTCAATTTGTAAGCTTTACTTTAGAATTTTAAGATGAGGCAATATCAAGATATTTGCAAAAGAACTATAAATACATGTAAGAGTGAGCTTTCAATTTATGGATTGATTTCCAGTTTAATTGGCAACACAATACCTAGGTCAAATGTCCATTCCCAGTTCCCCAAATAGTATAATTGTATTATTAGAACATTTTAAAATGAAGAAGACCCACTAAAAAAGTGAAAGCACCTTTCCATTAGAATCCACTCTTCTAGAGATAAGGGAAAACTCTCCCAATACTCACCCTACACACACACACACACACTCATCCTAAGAGTCCAATGGAATATTGAGAAGAAATCGCTTCTTTGAAAAATCTTTAAAAAAAAAAAAAAGCCTGGTGTCCCTGAAGAATCCTTCCCCTCCTTGGAATGTCAGTGTTTGTGTAGATGAAACCATCTCATGCACTGTGGCTTCAGGGTTTCTGTTACTAGTTTATGCACTTGGGAGAATGCTTTAAAATGGAAGATGTAGCACATTTTGCTTTCCCATTTATTGTTTGGCCAGCTATGCCAATGTGGTGCTAATGTTTCTTTAAGAAAGTACTTGACTAAAAAAAAAAAAAGAAAAAAAGAAAAAAAAGAAAGCATAGACATATTTTTTTAAAGTATGAAAACAACAATTCTATAGCTAGATGGCATAAGAAAATAGCATTATGTCTAGTCACCACCACCTTTCAACTTTTTATCACTTGCAAGTAGTGTACTGTTCACCAAATTGTGAGTTTGGGGGTGCAAGGGCTGAAGATAAAAATTGTTTTAAGTTAGAAGTCTCCATTGTTTTGTTGGCTCTCAAACTCAACAAAATTAGCAATATATTATCCAATCTGAACATGTTGTTTGATTCAGGAGCATGGAGTATAGAAGGGAAAGAAAAAAGAAAAAAAAAAAAAGACCTTATAGGCAAATGGCAGAATTGAAAAGATGATTGAGTTATTCATTGATTTGTGTGTGTGTGTGTGTGTGTGTGTGTGTGTGTGTGTGTGTACTCTCTGCTCTAAAACATACTCAGCAAGTGGAGAAAATAAAAACAAAGAGAAAAATGCATAGATTCACCTGCTAAAAATAGCTTCTGCCACATCCCCCTTGAGTAGTTCTTTGGCGTCGACTGGTTTAATAGAAGATATTCTCCCTTCACCTAAACATCTCAAAGAGCAGTAGCTCTCATAAAAGCAATCACTGATCTCATTGGGAAGTGTTGGAAAGTATTTCCTTCTGAGATGGGGGTTATCTACTGATAAGGACAGAGAAGAATTTATGAGAAATCGTTGAAAGAGATGGCTAACAATCTGTGAAGATTTTTTTGTTTTTGTTTTTACTTTATACAGTCTTTATGAATATCTTAATGTTCAAAAATGACTTGTTTTTTTCTTCTTTTTTTATATTGGAATAAGGGATGATAAGTTAAACCCATATAGACTGATTCTTTAAAACTATAGGCTAGATAGAAATGTATGTTTGACTTGTTGAAGCTATAATCAGACTATTTAAAAATGTGTTTGCTATTTTTAATCTTAAAAGATTGTACTAATTTATTAGAGACAGATCCTATTTGGTTCTCTTCATAAGAAAGAGCATTTCCCTTCAAATCACCTGGGCTTTCCCATCAATGTTTTTGAAAGAATAATCTGATTTATGCATCATTATGGCATCATTTATTTGTAAATTTTAAAATAAAATAAGTGTGATTCTTCATGCCCCTCTCCTGCAATGCTCGTAAAATCCAAAGTCTGAAAGGGACAGAAAACAAAAGAAAATTTTGTTG